GAAGTGGAATAAAAATAGCTTTCCTGCCTGAATCAAGAACCTCGAGTTAGATACCCTTGCTTATCCTTTAATTTCTCCCTCTCTGTACAGAATTGGTCGGCAAGGAGACATTTCTGACCCCAGAACCCGAAGTTTTCTCTACATTCTCGAGCTCCTTCCAAGGTAATTTTAAAGGACAGGCTGTTTAAAGACATTAAATAAGCAAAACATTTCTGGATATATATATATAGCAAGCGTGTTTTATCTTTGTTTTTGTACTTGAGGATTATCCCAGTGCCTACAGCTGCAGTGACAACTCTCGTCACATGTAGTTGTGATGACTGGCTGATAAGAGCGCACAAAGTGCAGTGACCTCCTGTAACACCAAACAACGGATTATTATTATTTTTTTTTGCAAAGCACAGCCCCAGTGTCTCTTTTCCCTCCTCTGTGAAAAAGAGATAACTCCACGTAATGAACACTGTCTTGTCTTTTGATACTATTGTCCCTGCTTGTAATAAACAGCAAGAGCAGGCTTCACCCTTGAGCTGCTTACATTGTAAAATGCTTAGTGGGGGGTGATGGTGAGGAACCTGCTGCCCCTCCAACACTGGCAGGATCCAACTCTCATGAGCCCCATGGTAAAGGGTCAGGAATGTTGTGAATTGTAGCTTAAGCCCTTCTGTTAACTGGGGCTGGTCACAGAGAATACATAACCCCCATGTTGCAGCATATCCGCTGGCTGCCGATTTGGTTCTGGGCACAATTCAAAGTGCTGATTCTAACCTACAAAGTCCTAAATGGCTTGAGTCTAACCTCTCTCAAGGACCACATCTCAAGCCGGCCTGGTGTTAAGATCATCAGGGAAGGCCCTTCTCTTGGTCCCACCACTTCCACAGGTGCCACATTTGTAATCATATGTTCCTTTCTCCCATACTTCAGAGTATTATTTAAAGTCCTGTAGCTGTTTTGTCCTTCTGCACCCTTGAATTGGAGTATAGGTTGAGTGGATGGTGGTGTCTGGAAATACACAAACATGGTTTTAATCTTCTCCGGACACTGCTGTACTGCTGAGATAGTTTATATGTCTTTCAGTTGCAGTAGCTTGGGGTCTAATGAATATTTTTCTTCTTCCTTTTATTAACAGTAGACATTTCTGTGCACTATAGTTCTGTCTAGAGTTGTAGCCAAGAGCCTTTAGTTCCACAGACATTTTGGACTTCAGCTCCCAGCTACCAGGACAAACGGGAGTGGATTACTGTATTTTTCCATCTATAAGACGCTACTTTTTCCTAAATTCATTACACTAAAAATTGAGGGGCGTCTTTTACACTGAAGTAAGCTGAGATAGCTGAGGAAAGAACAAAATGGCACCTACCTTGCCTCTGTAAACAGGCTTCCTTCAGCCAGAAGGCTTAGTTTCCTAAAGTCAGGAGACTTAGCTTCCTCCAATCACAAGCCTTATGGAACTGATGTCAGCTGATCTGGAACAAACTAATCAGAACACACGTCCTTAGAGGTGGAGCTTGTAGGCTCAAGATTCAACAGAGACTCAAAATGTCCAACGTTCTGAATCCAGAGGCTGAATCCTCAAAGCTACGTTTTCTTAATTTTTGGATTAGAAAATTTGGGTGTGTTATAAATGAAAAAATACGGCATGTGCCTTTTAGTACAAAGCATCTAAAGGTCCAAAGTTCCCCATCCTTTTAAAAGAAGACTAATCTAGAAGGTAGCTAAGCCTGATGATTATACAGATTGAATTGTTGTTCTTTTGTAACTGTGTTTTAAACAAATCGTTTTACAGGCTCACAAAACTACCTAAATATTTACTTCTAGAAAATGTCAAAGGCTTTGAATCATCTTCTGCCAGGTAAGGTCAATTTAAACACATTTTTGGTTTATCTTTTTTTGGCCAGGGGCAAAGAATTTTTATGATGACATGAGAAGGTATTTTTCATGCCAAACAATGCTGTTTCATTGTTTTGGAACTGTGGGAGCAGGCTTTTACTAAACATTAGGAGCTGTTCAACAGTTGAGATAGTGAGTTCCCCTTTACTGGAGGCATTCAAACAGTCTGGATGGCCATCCATCAGGACTGCAAGCAGCTGAATCCTGTAGTCTGCCCTGAGAGCAGAGGGTTGGATCAGAAGTTTTCCAGAGTCCTTCCCATCTCTGTGGTTCCATACTACAATATGATAACATAAAGAAGGCGGTGGACTCTGTGTACTTCAGGACACAGCACAGTTTCTTTGTGGTAGGCAGATAGAACTGCCATCCCAGTTCTCAACCCATAGGTAATTTGAGCACATACTAGCTAGGATGCTGTTGGGCACAGTTTGTATTGCCATGAGATCTCCCACTTGTAGAAATGTCTTACACAAGCATGATCCTTGTTCCACATATCTTACTTGCTTGTGCAAGGAGAAATGGGCTACTGCTTTGTATAGGTGGCAGAAATGTTAAGACACACTGCATCTTCCTTGTGAGCAGTTTGTTTCAAAGAGATTCACAGTTCCTGATTTCAGATTTTGAAATTTATATCTATGAGGGGTCATATTAGATCTTAACCTTAATATTCAGCATTAATCCTTGCTTACCAGTGTGGTGAAGATGCAGGGATTTCATCCCTACTTTTCCGACTAGTAGCAAAAGTTAAGAAGTAGCTTAAATATCAGCAGAAACAGAAGGGCGCACAAATTGAATCAATGAACACTTTTTGTCAGCCCCAGGGAAATCAGTAAAACATTTGTGTAAGAAAATGATAAAAGTTTTAATTCAGAGTTAGTCAAATGTCTAATGGCTCCAAGAACCAGAGTCATACAGTGGATGGAGAACTGAACTAGGATTCAGGTGACTGGGTTTCAAACCCACACTCAGCCATAGAAATTCACTAGGGGATGGCAATGATGAATCAGTCCTTGAGCACTTCAGGAATCTCAAAAACCCTATGAGAGTCACCAGAAGCTGGGGAACAACTTGATAGCCCATAACAACAAAGTACAGTAAGTCCATTGGTATCAATGGGGCAGTTATGAATTACTTTAGCATCTGCCCTCTTATTGGCTCCTTGATGTAGCCAATCATGAGCCTTAGGAGGCTGTGGGGGAGGTTTATGGAATGTGGGTTGGGAGGAGAGGGGGTTGTGAGTTGAAGTTTGTACGTTGGACAGTTTTGAATGAGGTTGGAAAAGAGAATGGATTTGGCAGGAGCAAGAGAGATGCATAGGAGAGAGTCTAGGTAGGTTTTTTTTGTGAGAAAGGAGGTGCATAAGCTGGTTATCGAGTGTAGTGTCACTGTAAATAAAACTGTGTCAAAGGTTGGTGAGGGTGTATAACCAGATATGATTGTGATAGTTATTGCAGATTGTACTGACTTAGTTGAACTGTTTTCACCTGATAGCCCTATTATAGCCTTGTGAATAAAAAAAAATGTGTGTTTCAGCTAAACCTGTGTGTGGACATTTAGATGAGGAATATGCATCTTCCTATAGTGCTACCATAAATGCTTAGAGATACACAGACTATACATCTGTAGAATTCCCCATTCCCCATTTTAAAGTCCTGTGGTCGATTAAGAGGCAAGAGAATAAACTAGGACATAGGAACCTGGAAAAATAAGAACATGGTCTCCAAAAAGAGATTTGAACTGGTTTAATCAATCTATTCTATGTGTGGCTAAATTTGGATGATTGTGCTTAGGACAGCTTCTGACATTCCTTGTTGCAATAACCTTTATGGGTTTTGTCTTATTTTTGAATTCCCAGAGATGAACTTATACAGACCTTGGAAAAGTGTGGATTTACATATCAAGAATTTCTGTTGTCTCCAACTTGTGTGAGTACTGCTGTTATAAGGGGGGGGAACTAATCCAATTTAAAGTGTTGTATATTCACTAATGTTTGAATGATGGAGAGAGAGAGAGATAGTGTGAGAGGATTGGGTTATCTCGTATACTGTTGCTTCTGGGATTAAGGCAGCAGTCAGTTGACAAGAGAAGTGTCTGCCGAATCACACTGGCAAGGGTCACTTTAATTGGAATGATCTCCCTTAAAGCAACCCTTCTGTCTGCTGGGGAATCACTCCAACCTGGCACTCCAAAGTAGCAGCTATACTGCTAGACCAAAAAGGTCCAGCCTGGACATAGATCAGGGTCAGTCTGGAGTACTATTCTCCGTACAGTGGTGCCTCGCATTACGACGTTAATTGGTTCTAGCGAAATCGCTGTAGAACAAAAACGTCGTAATGCGAAAATAAAAAGCCAATCGAAACGCATTGAAACCCCTTCAGTGCATTCCAAAGGGCTGGAAACTCACCGTCCAGCGAAGATCCTCCATAGGGCGGCCATTTTCGGTGCCTGTGCAGCGAGGAATCCATCCCAGAAAACAGCGGGGAGCCGTTTTATTTACCTGGTGGCCATTTTGAAACTGCCAGTCAGCTGTTGGAAAATCATCATTTTGCAAAGAATCAGTTCCTGAAGCAGGGACCCGATCATCGCAAAGCGAAACAAGCCCATTCAGATCATCATTTTGCAATCGCAAAAGCGATCGCAAAAACATTGTCGTAATGTGGTTTCATCGTAATGCGGGGCAATCGTAAAGTGGGGCACTACTGTACATTGTGTGATCACCGGGAAATAGTTCACAGTGCACTATGCCATGAACAGCCCAAAATATGAGCTACCTGCCCCTGTGGTCTTACCTAAAAGTATTTGCTTCCATCTACTAAGAAATGTTGGCCAAACTGATGTAGAACTTCTGCATTGCTTTCCCTTAAAGATATACATGCCAAAATGTATCTTGGGGGAGGAAGTGTGAGAAAGCGAAAGATTGGTCTCAGTAAATACGAGATGAGAATTTTAGGACCCAGGAAGAGTGAAGCACGGATACTTGTTGCCCCTGCTTTGACATTGTACCCAGAGCTGCTTATTGTTTGGATCTGGTATGTGTTCCTCCCTGACTCGCAAGATAAGCATGAAACACTCCTCTTGCCACAAAATAGCATGTACAGTAGGTCTTCTGGGGAAATGTGTGGCCCTCCCAATGTTACAGGACTACAAATACCATCAGCCTTGTCCAACATAACCATTGGTGATGGCTGGTGTGAGTTGCAGGGCAACAGTATGTGGAGAGTCCCAAGTTCCTCATCTCTCCTTTATGTATTTATTTAGCCTTCAAAATGGCTTTCTTCCTCTTGCTACATTTCTTTTAACCTGACAGTTTTTTCCACATTGCACTGCCCATTGGTTGCTCATTGGGGTTTTGTTTACAGCTTGGCATTCCAAATTCAAGACTGAGGTACTTCCTGATTGCAAGGCTCCAATCAGAATCTTTTACCTTTCACGTAGCAGGCAAGGTGAGGCTGCTTCTTACAATTTTAAATAAGTATGAACATTTAAGAAGTCCTGGTCCTGAACTTCCAATTTAGACAGGCTTTATCATGTAATAATTTTTCCATTCTGATTCCGCTACACAACAAATCATTACGCTCTCAGTGTGGTGGCATCCATCATCCATGCCTCTAAGGATGATGGGATTTGTAGCCCAACATAATCTAAGGATGGGTTAGAGTTTTTGCATGAGAATTTTTGCATAATAATTTGTCAAGTATATATATATATATATTTGAAGACATTTGATGAATAGCAATCTCAAAAGAGAAGCTTATCAATACACATCAACATTTTTCAGAAGTGTAATAGTTCCTTCCCAAGTAAATTGCTTGGAGCAGCTTTTTGGGGGTAACAGTTGAGGAATTCCTTGATTCCCAGAATGGACCACACTTTTTACCACTTTTAAAAATTAAAGTAATAAGAATAAAAAATGTTTGATGTTAGATATTGACAGACTTCCCAAGCCAAGATCCAGTAGATTTAAAGAAGTCTGGATGTTTGACAGAACACAGCTGCTTGGTGCCAACCCAAAAGTCTCCCTCTAGTTCTGATGATGATGATTGCCAACGATGCTCACAGAAGGGAGACTTCCTGTTTAAGCTTGAGACGCTGGAAGAACAGGAAAGGAAACGGCAACGGGACAACGATCTGTCTGTGCAAATGCTAAAAAGTTTCCTTCAAGATGATGTAGAAGGCCTAAATCAGTACTTTGTGCAGCCGAAGTCTTTGTTGCGTTACGCATTCCTTCTAGACATTGTTACACCCACTTGCAGGAGATCAACATGCTTCACAAAAGGGTGAGTCTCTTTGACTGGCATCTACTTGGTGCAGTTATGCTGTTCAAATCTGATAATGGCACCAACCATTGTCATTTGGGGGGAATTAAAAGCTTCTTATACCACCACCCTCGACTCTAGGGATCCCTAGGGATATCCTTCATCCAACGAAGCCTTTAGGAACCATAGAATTGGGATAAGGAACAATTTAAAGCTGGAAAATTATTACTGAATATGAGCTGGATGTTAGAATACAAACTCTTCTTTGTAAAGAAGGACTTAGTCATAAGCCAGAATTTATTTCTCCCAGCTGCATTCTTTCTGATTGAATAAAGTGCTGGCCTGCAAGTACATCCATCTCAAAATAGCATTCACAAAGGATGGTGCCATATATTATCGAATGGTTTTCAAGTAAACTACCCCTTGTAAAAGCAAAAGCAGGCAAGGGGCAGTTGGCAAATGCATTTATTGATGCACTTCATTCAGTGCAACATGCAATTGTATGAAAGTATGAATCTTGGCCTCATTAAATTGCAACTGCTGCTCAGTATTATTACCATCTAAAAAGCAGCCACCCACCCACCCTTATTGTTGCTAAAGGCACCGTTGTTCTACTTATCCAGGCCCTTTGATTATAGAAATCAAAATCATGTGTTTAAACTTAACCTCCATAGGTTTTACAGTTGGATAGCAAGAGTGCTTCCAATGCCATCTTTCCAGCTTCCTAGCTGCCCAATTTGCTATGTTTTCTTCTGCCCGTTGCAGTGAAAATAAACACTCATCTCAGTAGAGATTCTTAGGGGTGGGAAAAGCTTTCCCTTCCATCCAACCCCATCCCAGTGATTTCTAGACAGGGCTTATTCTGCCTTGTCAATTTTATCAGCCAGTCAGTTCAACAAATGACTTTTTGGCCCTCTGAGTGTATTGTTAGCACACTATCCAAAGCCTAGTTGCCAAAATGGGAATCTAAGAGGATTTGGCTAAATATATTTGGCATTTTGTTGAACGTAGCATTTTGCTGTCAGCTGAGCAGCCGTGCTAGATCAGCAGAACAATCTTTGTCTTTGCATTGACTGCAGATGCTTCTCTTTCCTCATAAGAGACACCAGGTATGTCTCTCTGGGCTTTCAAAAAAAGGTGCACTTCTATTTTACTGTCATATGTTTATTTTATTTCATTCACTTAGTGTCTATCCTTCTTCTGAGCTCAAGACTGGTGCTTACATGGGCTAATGATCACAACATAGGGCCTCTTTTTCCGTTCTTTGTTCTCACAAGGATATTAGGATGAAAAAGAGTGACTGGCCCAAGATCGCCACCCTAGTATGTCCCATGGCTTTAGTGCAGCCCAGAACTCAAGACTAGGATTCTGCTGAGTCGGGCCACTTGTGCAGCAGATATAGCACAAGTGATTTGACTGTTAAGGCACTTGTGCTAAAAGGTACTCAGTTCTTGTGCAAGCATAAGCTGGATTCCCATAATAGGGCTCTCTCGTGGTCTAGCACTATGTGCAAAAGTAGGAGATCCTAGGTGGTAGTGCTGTGCTGGCTGAGGTTTCTGGGAGTTGCAGTTCAAAAACACCTGAGTGACCCAAGGTTAAGAACCATTGGTCTAGCACTGTGTGCAAAAGTAGGAGATCCTGTGTGGTAGCGGCAGCAGAGCTTTGTGCTCTGCCAGTGCCCAGCAGGATCATAGGGCAGATCACCCAGGTCCTACTCCAGGCATCTGGTCACTTCACCAGCTGTCATGCATGCTTTTACTACCATTGGAAAGGTATAAACGTGTACATTCTGAGACCCTGTTTTGTGTTCATCCTGTGCTTGCATGGTATTTATCTAGCAACCCAAACCCATCTCTTGCATTCTGCTTCTCCTATAATTAACATCAGATGACTGCCTGGAGGAGACCACTGCATTATATCTGTATATACAGAAAACCACGCTGGCTCCAGAAGAAGGATACTATCATTTAAAAAGTACCGGACTCTGCTATAAACTGTTGGTATTTTCTGTTTATTTGTATTCTTTGGTCCTTTTTGAAACCGGCATGCTCAGCAAAAGTTGAGAATATTGATTAAAAAGAATAGCAAGCTGAGTTAGTTGCTTTGGGTCTTTTGAAACCAAATCAAACCAGAGTTTTCCACCACTGCTTCTGTCTGAAGTATCAGTGGCCCTAGTCTTTTGAAGTGGATCTTCTCCACATGTATGATGAAAAATACGTTTCAGACTTCTGAGTGCACACATATATAACAAAGAATCTGATCAGAAGAATGAACAACACATGCACACAGGAGATTAGATGCATCCATACGGCAGTTGTCTACTATTTTTAATGATTTGGCCAAAGGGAAAGCTGGAAAAGATGATATGGTGAAGCAAGAAGGTGTAGTGTATGTGTAATGTCAATGGGATCTGACCCCTCTAGCTTGGTTGCGTAGTGTGATGTTTTGAATATGTTGCTCATAAAATTGGTATGCCATTTGTTCTGTCATTTGCTTTTAACCTCTGCACTCATCAATATTGGAAATCTCAAAGGAATCTTAATGTATGGCTCTGTGTTGATTTTAAGGTATGGGCACTACATAGAAGGAACTGGCTCAGTGTTGCAGACAGCAGAGGATATTCAGGTACATATCGTCATGTCATTTGCACATTTGCTCAAGTAAAGGCCTGTTAGTTATTCCTTTCAGCAACAGTACAGGAAATCTTTTGCTAAGACAATCCTACAAATCACAGAAGGATGTATATAATTTTTTAAAAAACAAACCCATGATTTTATAATACTGAGATTTTCATGGCTGACATGAATTTTTTTCATTAAACTCTTTTTGCCTGCCAGTGTTTTAACAGCTCCATTTAGTCATGAGTACATTTGTTGCCGCTAAAAGCGAACTGGTTAATATCTACTGTAGAATTAGTGGTCTTCATAGCGTTAGATTGGAAACATTCCTTACTAATATCACTGCTCAATATCACTAAATTTACAAAATGCAAAACTAGACAGCATCCATAGCAGAATTCAAAGCATTACATCTTAAACGGAACTTGTTGAGTTACTTACTACTTTTTTGAAGCTGTGTTACCATTGTTGTTCTTTCAATTGTGCAAGTAATTTGGTGCATCACAAGTTATTAACTCATTATTGTACACTGTTGGTGCAAAAGGCCAGCCAAGTACAGAATAATGCTCTCTGGTTCCATCTAGTGTCCAGTTTTTATACTGCACCTTGGAAACACTGATAAAAAAGATTAAACTAAAGCTTCCAGTGCCACATAGGATTAGTAACAGAATGGCATGAAACTGAAAAATTGCTGTCAGAATACCTTGAAAAATGCCCTGAAATGTCCTTAACAACTAACATTTGAAATTAAGTAGGCATTGCTTGTTAAACCTGTATAACTTAGATGTTAATTGTTATATGTAAAAAGTTACTTGTAACCACTAGTTGCATTACATGTCACTGAAAAAAGTAGTTATGGTTGACTACAAGTAAATCCATTTTTATTAGTTACTTTGAAGCTCTGTATCACCCTGTGTCCTGGCCTTAATCATTAAGGAGGCTATAGTGGTCAGTTTCCTGCAGAATCCTTGCTCTGAAGATTTGTATTCTGTTCATTATCCCCTGTTTGATTTGCTTGTCTTGGCTTGAGGTCAGTTGCAGGAATTAATACTAATCTGATGCTACCAATAGAGGTTTGCCAAGAGAGAATTTTCTGTTTCAATGATACACCATACAGAAATCAAAACTTTGTGTCTCTTTTTTCATTAAAAAAACTACTGATGGGGAGTTACGTGGAGTCCTGCACAGGCCATGTTGATAAAGCTTTAAACCAGTGGTTCTTAACCTTTTTGAAAGAAATGCGAGAGAATTTTCTGTTTCAATGACACACCATACAGAAATCAAAACTTTGTGTCTATTTTTCATAAAAAAACTACTGATGGGGAGTTACGTGGAGTCCTGCACAGGCCATGTTGATAAAACTTTAAACAACTTTGCCATCTCAAACTGGTCTACAGGGCCCAGGTTTTAAGACTTATCTGGGCTTCTTTGAATGAAGGCACAGTACAGTTTTCAAGTTAGACTACTTTCTAGCCAGCCTAGGAAAAGCTGGGGGGGAGGGCTTCCTTGTTCTATGCCCTAGGGCAGAGATGGCAAACCTTTTTGAGCCCGAGTGCTCAAGCTGCCAAAAAACCCCCCAAAAAAACAAACAAGAAAAGCTAGCAGGCAGCAGCAGAAGTGGTGGCAGCAGAAGCGGGAGGTGCCTCCACTCCGGATCTGCCTCCAGTCATGCCCAACCCAGCCACTACCTATAGCTTGGCTGGCCTGCCACCAACAGCACCAGCTACTCCGGATCCTGGCCTGCTGCCAGTCGGGGTGCTAGCACTGCGGCTGCAGCCACCTCCTGAGGTTTGGCTGCCGGGGGTAGCAGTCTAGCAACTTATGGCTCATGTGCCCACAGAGAGGGCTCTACGTGCCAGTTGTAGCACGTATGCCATGGGTTCGCCATTGCTGCCCTAGGGCATTAAATATTACACAAACTGTCCATCTCTCTCCAACACAAGAGGCAACGTAGGGGGGTGTCTAATAGCTTGCCTCGTCTCATCTCCCCTGCATACCTGGAGCCCAGTAATTACTTGCGGGGGGGAATGTTTTTCATTTACAAATCCCACTTGCTCAGCCCACAGTCCAATGGCCTTCTTACAGAAAGAGTTTGAGATCAGCTGTGCTAAAGATACTTTTCTGGAATTTCGTTGGCAAAAGAAAAAGAATGTGGGCGAGGGAGAGAGAGAAAGGACAGAGCAAAATGTCATGGTACTTCAATAGCTAAGATTTGTTTCAGTGTGAGATTTTTAGAATCACAATTCACTTCTTCAGACACACAAAGTATNATGGGGGGGGGGGGACAGCAATTAGATTTTTCTCCCTTTAATGGCCCGTGTTAACACAGTTATGTCTTTAGAACTTTTCCAACAGCCATTTAATACCAGTTATTAAAGAAGTAATGCATGCAAATAAGAATATTATAAAGTAATTTTACACCCAATGCACCTGGTTTGTTGTTTTTCTACAGCTTGAATCTGTATTTGAATCGGGGGGGGGGGGACAGCAATTAGATTTTTCTCCCTTTAATGGCCCGTGTTAACACAGTTATGTCTTTAGAACTTTTCCAACAGCCATTTAATACCAGTTATTAAAGAAGTAATGCATGCAAATAAGAATATTATAAAGTAATTTTACACCCAATGCACCTGGTTTGTTGTTTTTCTACAGCTTGAATCTGTATTTGAATCTTTTGAGGGTTTGCCTGAAGATGAGAAGCTGAAGAAGCTGTTGATGCTTAAACTGCGTTATTTCACGCCAAAAGAAATAGCAAATTTGCATGGATTTCCTCCTGAATTTTGTAAGTGTCTAGTTTTAAAGAAAAATTGTGAATATGCCACACCCACATAAATTGCACAGATAGAAATATACATAAATATAAATATGCACAGATATCAACATATACAGAGATGTCCACGTAAGGGATTATTGGCCTGGAAAGTTTTATCTTTATAAACATGATACATATTTCCACAAGCTTTTTCTTCACAGTTTTCTCTGCTTAAATTTGGGCATAATGTGTTAGGTTTGACATGATCACAGAGTCTCAGTTTCTGTAAGATCCGGCCCTATCATTAGGCAGAATGAAGCAATTGCCTTAGGTAGCAAATGCTGAAAGTCAGGGGTTGCAGTATCCCAGACTATTCCTCTTGAACCCCTTGGGATATCCCTCTGTTGACCTATTTCTGTGCCCCCTAACATTTCTCAGATTTCTCAGGTTTGGTAGCTATACAATCAACTGCCAGTTTAATCATCTTCTGTTTATAAAATGAGGAGCAGGCATTACTTTGTCTTTTGTCTAAGTCGGCAGAATGACTTGTAGGGGCCTGATAAAACTAATATGGCACAGTAATCTGTTTCTTCAATTAAGAGCTAATGGACATCTTGAGTGGTATTGATAAATGGTATTCCATTTCTCTGTCATCCAACAGCCTAGGAAAGACTAATGAGCATAATTACTGTTAGAACCACCGGTTACTTGGAACCATTTCTTGCTGTACTGTAACACAAAGTGCCTATTTTTAAGATATATCCTATATGCTAGTGAGTACTAATTCTCCACATGTGCAACATTATCTAGCCAACCGTGGTAGTAGTTGTAGCACTTCTAATTTACACTTTGCCATGCATTTCAAAGTGCATGAAGTCATCCATAGCAACCCCTTTCTTCATAGTCTCATTGGATATTGGTAAATTTATTGGTGCACCTTCCTTTCAGATGTGGAGGAAGCAGCTAAGATATGGGGTCCTAAGCATTTCTCCTTGTTTTATTGCCATTCATATAATAGGTCTCTTAGGATGGCTAAAATAGCATTGTTTTGATTAACTATGATGTTCTTGCACCTGAGTCTAGCTTTTCAGCAGGATGACATCAGATTATTTGGAAGGCTTTTCCTCCTTATTCCTAATGATGTGTCATAGAGTAGAAATGAGACAAGAGACATATTATCTCTCCTTTCCTTAGTGACTGACTATCTAGGAGCCAACAGGATGTTTTTAATTTTGCTGCTTCCACGTCTTCAATATAATGTTATTAATTCTTTTTAAATATTTGAATAATTTACTGTTTTCAGCTTTTCATTTTGTGTTTTTATTTATGTAAGCTGTTTTTTTTAAGGAGAAAGGTAGGGTAAAAATATTTGTAAAAATTAAAATGTCGAGGAAAGAAAGTTGGGGTAAAAATATTTTTAAAAATTAAAATGTCGAGGAGTGACTGCCTGCGTGTTCAGGAGAAGGTCACTCTCCTTTTCCATTGGCAAACAAGTGCCATTTGGTACATAATGTTTGGGACTAGAGATGGGCGCTTGCTGTGGTTCTGCAGTTTGGTGAGGTTCAGCCAGTCGGGCCCACATTGTTGTGTGTGCACCCCCAGATTCCATGCCCCATCTCCTGCAATGGGAGCCCTGACAGAGGCAGTGTCATGGACCCCGCCTGCCCATCTTCTCTTCTAATTGAGTGCCTGTGGGAGAAAGTGAGGCGTGGAATCCAGGGTTCCCCGTGCAACACCTGTGGGCTGAACCCCACTGAGCCGCAGTAAGTCCCAATCTCTTTTTTGAGACTAGAGTCATTTGAATCTAGTTTCTCTGCAGTTCTCTGGACATGAGTATAACGGGGGAGGGGGGAATTACTCCAAACATTACTCCCAGCAGGAGGTGGCAAGCAGGACAAGCTGTTCTTCAGAAACAGGCACGTTCTTGAATAAAGTGTGTTTCACTGTAGCGAAGGTCAGTAGTAAATGGTAGACTGAAAGCCACAGGGCACATGTTCACTAAATGGAATACAGGCTGGAGTTTCCACACAAGTACCGTAGGGTTTGTGTGCTCTGGTTATTAAGCATCATGAATTTCAACACTTGGCTCTTAAGAGGGTCAGTTCAAGGTCTTGTCCTAGCATGGGCTCGTTTTCCAAAAAAACCCTGAAGATGATGGAATGAAGCAAGAGAATGAAACACTTGGATTGCAGTCCTGTAATCACTTAAGTGGGTGTAAACCCTGTTGAACTCAGTCTTTTCACCAGTGTAAATCAGGTGATACAAACTGTATTAGCAAATCATTGCTAGAAGGCGGCACTTGTCATGCACCAAGTCATGTGACTGATGCTTTTCAAGGAATACATAGACCAACTCCTTAACTAGCCCCAATTTGCTGGTTCAATTATACTATAATAGGTTTCTAGCTACAGGAATTTAATTCTAGGCAGATACTATACGATTGTACAGCCTCACATAAGTAGTTGTGATAAGTAAATTGCATTCATCCTTGATAACTTTTCTGTGACTTAGGAAATTATGAAAGGACATGTTTTTTTGCCTGTTTTAAATGACCAATTTCTTCTTGTTAGGTTTTCCTGATAACATAACGACAAAACAGCGATACCGACTGCTTGGAAACAGCCTCAATATAAACATAGTTGCTAAACTGGTCTCAATCCTAGTTGCATAATTCTGGATGAGAGGCTGATCTAGGAAATCAGAAGATGGGTTCCGTCTTTAGAAGTGGAATAAAACTGATCACTGTGATGTATCTATGTGGCTGCTAATGTGTGACATCCATGACATATGTTTCTCAGAATATGCTTCATCATAATGGGACTGCCTTTGAATTTCTGGGAATAGCAGGTGGTGTTGATAACGGCAGCATCTGCTACTGAAAAAGTCTACCTTGTGCCAGAAATGTAAGCATATGTAATCATGGGCACTTCTGAACTCCAGTACAAAGTTTAATGTTGTATTTATAAATAAATGATTTTGTAAAAACAAATAAAATAAAGATTTTCATAAAACAAAATTCTAATCTGCAATTACTGTATCTAACTGTACAACATACTGGCTTTTATATCACGTCAATTGGCTTTGCTTCTCCAAAAGAATTCTAGGAATGGCGATGTTCTGAAAGTTCTTTGTTGCAAAGCACTTTCCTCCCTGTTAGGGAATGGGGAAATCTGTCAGCTTCACTTTCTGCTGAATTCAAATGCCTGCCCTATATATGAGACTTTTGATTAATTTCCTCAGAAAGAAATTGAAAACAAATTTTTCCGTCTGCACTGGCTATGTTTAGTAGGCAAAGCTGTGCCCCAAATGGAGAAAATTGTATCGTATCTCCCTGTTAATGATGAAGAACCTCTCACAAAATGAGGCAGCAACCCTAACTGAGGAGTAACATGTTTAAAGATTCAGGGTTTCAAACCCAAATATTGAAAAGCTAAGCACTCACATGCTTGGTTTTTAAACAAGACCTGTCAAGTTTCTCATGCATTCAATTAAAAAAAAAATCCCACAAACCCTCAAGCCTTCGAGAATATAACCCTCAAGTTGTTTCCATTCCACATGTGGAAATTTGGAAGCTTCACACAACATCTCCTAGGCTTCCCTGGGGAAAAGGTATGTCTGATAAAGGGTGGTATATCACAAACACACCCCAAGTCTTTATGGAATTAATGCATTTACTAGAGCTGTGCAGATTTGTGTTCTTGGACTGCAGCTCACAGAAATCCTCAGGCAGCATGGCCAGTGGCTAAGAGCTGTAGTCCAGAGGAATTCTGGGAGTTGTAGTTCGAAAACACACATCTGTGCTACTCTAGTACTTATCAGAGCTCAGCAATAAAGCACATGTTTATGTGGAATGCTGTAACTACCATGTGTGGCATCTCCAATTAAAACTATCAGATAGTGTGTGATACAAGAGTTGTGTGTTCTCAAGTCAGAACCAACTTATAGCGACCCTAATAGGGCTTTCAAAGTGAGATATTTTAAGCTTTACCAGTTCTACCTCCCCAGTGAGCTTCCATGGCTGAGCCAGAAGTTAGAGCCAGGCCTCCTGAGTCCTTCACTTTTTCCACTATCCCACTCAGGGTATCCATGATAAAATACTTATTAAAACTTTGGAGAGCTTCTGCAAACTATAGAACTCTTTTTCATATGAGAGGTCTGACTTAATATAAATCCACATTAATCTTTTTCTGATGTTCATACATAAATACAGTCTCTTTCTTAGTGAAACTCTACCGTCCAGGAGCAGGAGGCCATTTTAGTAGACTAATGGGTAATCCATAGGCTTGAAAAAGTATAAGGCATCTATAGAAATGGGGGAAACGGGCAAGGATCTCAAAAGCAGTCCATTGAGGACTGAATGTGGCTACAAAATAATGATTGAATACTTTGGGAGTAGGGAATAGGAAACAAAATGGAAGGTGGTGTAGGATGGTGTCCTGCAAAAGACAGCATAGCTGGCCCAGTAAATAACATTCCTATGGTTCCAAATCAGGGATATAAACATGTAATCCACATCTTATGCCTTTAATGATTTGAATTGAATATGTCATTTTTTTTAACAAATGGAAATTTGTGACAACTAGATTTCACAAGATGAATTTTCTTCTGCTGCTTTCTCCATTTCCTTATCCTAATGTTAAGACTTTTCACCCCATGAGAAAAAGGCCTGTCAGTATTAGCTCAGTTTCCTGTGTAAGTTTGTTTAAAATCAAAGCTCATTAAATATCCTATATATTTTACTTCCCAGATATATGAAACCTCTCTAAGTGCACTTGCGGTTTCTGTGCTTATAAATTTTGAATCAATAAGGATACCAGCTTTTCTCCCATTGGCGTACCATAGCCCTCTGGGCATTTTTTGGCAGGCGTTTTGATTCACAGAATTTTAAGCTTAAAATACTTCAAAATAAGCAGAATAATATAATTAAAATAGGCTGATGAGTGACTGTGCCAAATGGTGACCCTTATTTCACCCTTACAAGCTGTAGAATGTGCTGCACACACCCATGTATGTGCTTATGAGTTACTATCTCTTGAAGCAAAAGCAATAGAAACACTTAAAAGAGCTGAGGCACAACAGCTTCGAAACTTCCATCTTGGGATTCCACAGAGTATATTGTTCATCACTGAAGAGAGCCTCCATGGCAGACCAGACAGATAAACAAAGAGAGAGGGAGAAGGACACTCCCTCTTATCTGTTTAAGACTTAATGGGGCATCATCAACACCTGGGAGTCAGTCAGTAGGCTTATTGGCAGCTAGTGTAATTCTTCACAATGAGTATCACATGAGTATTGAAAGGTGTTGATGTTAGCAGTCTAGCAGCCTCATGTCAAGTTTAATCTAGAACCACAAAGTGAGAATTTTGACAGGGCATAGATTTGATGTAGGGATCTGTACCCTCCTGGCAAGTTTGAAACTTCCCAGCCCTAGGAAGGAGGAAAAACATTGCAAAAGAATCAAGATCAACACATAATGGTCTGAGACCAAAACCCCTAACCTCCAAGCCAAACCTTGGAGATGGCAAACATAACAGTTGCATTTAAAAAAGGCAGTGTTGTGGTATTTTCAGACCACTAAACGTTCTGCTCACATTATTATTTTCCAGAAAATCAGCATGCCAAGTTAGCTTATTTGTTAGGCTTAATAGGCTTATTTCTTGAACAAAACTGCCTCTATTCTTAACTGTATGTCAGACTCTGTTTTGGCATTGTTGAGTCCCAAAGGGTAGTACAATCCAAGTTTTTTTCCCAATAAAATTAAATGAACATGTTCCTACTTCTATTGACGCAAGTGACTGTTTGGACTATTTATAGATTTCCAAAGTTGTCAAAAGCAACAGTAGGTAAGATTGGCTGCATGAATGGAAAAAAAATACAGCTCATTTTGGTACAAAGAAAATAGAAAGAGCCATAGGTTGGTTGGTTTGTGTTTTTTAATGCAAGTCTAAGTATGCAGGTAAGTCTGTATAAACTTACCTGACATAAGTCTCATTAAAATGAGTAGGACTTACTTCTGGAAAGACACATATTCCAACTGAACTTTGGAAAGAATGTTTCAAACAGACCATAGAAGAACTGCTTGATGGCTTAGTGGTTTAGCTATCTGACTTGGAAGTTTGAGTCCCCACTGTGGCTCCTCGAGAGGTGCTGAACTCAGTGATTGAGTAGAACTTGAGTAGACCCAGTCTAGATGGCAGGGTATAAATCTAATGAAATAAATAATAAAATAAATGATCCATAGGATCCCCTCCACCTCTGTAGTTCGATGATCAGAATGATATTTATTGATTTTAATTGCCCTCTATGTCCCTAGTTTCCTCCCCTAAATAACTCAGGATGGCATGCATATCTTGTCTTTATGTTTCACTTTTAAACACCAACACCACAATAAGATAGTTACAATTTGCTCAAAGTTACATGTCCTGTTCCAAGTCCAAAACTCTGACACCACATGTCTTCTCATCCATTCCATTCTTGATTCTGAAAGGCCCAGAGACTGCTATACTCTGATGTTCTGGCAGCCAGTTAACATGGCTGTCAACCGTAAAGGTTGACCATGGTGGTTGCCAGCTTTGGTAGTGGCCAGTCCTTCCCGTGGGGGCTGCAGGCCACATTGTGAGGAAAGCAGTGGATGAAGGAAGCACCATGCTCATTCTTCTTGTCAAATCAGTTCTGTTCCTCAAGATACCCTGCCATAATGTTTCAAAGGTCAGAGAATGATTCAGGAATTAAATATTAAATGGCAAGGTTAATTTAACCTATGCCAAATATATATATTCCATAATTGTCCAGTCCAAGATTCCCTTTCCTGTTCAATTCCCTTGCCACTAACAACACAGTGTTTTCTTCCAATTGAGGCAGCCTCCCTCTTTTGTTCTGGGTTCTTTCACCTTTCAAACCTGCAGATGTGCCAGAGGTTTGAGAGAATTAAATATTTTGTCATATGCATGGCAGGCTGGGGAAAAGTTTCCGTTTTAAAAAGTTTACTTCATCTTCATTTTTTTGTTTGCTTTGACACCATTTGCAGTCTCTTTGGGCTGCTAGCAATTTTCCTCTTCTCAAAATGGTGTCCTTATTGACTTGCTGGTGGTGTGATATATATATATAGTCCGTTCAGACATCTGGACCATACTTGATACCTACATCATGATGTAGACTGTCTAGGTGAAGAGATGACAGGGCTCCTGTACCTTTAATTGTGTAGAGGAGGAAATTTCAGTAGCTGTAGCTTGCATTAAAAGTGGCACATACTGAAATGTCCTCTTCTTAGCAATAAATAAAGAGGAACTCTGACCTCTTTTTCTTCTATTCACCATGTCATGATGCCTTGATGCTTATCTGAGGATGCAGGAAGGACTTTCACTTCCCATCTTTAGCCCAGAATGGCTGAAACAGAGGTAATGCTTAATGGGAGGGCCAGTGACTGAAATGAGGTGTTTTTTTTTATGGGGCCCAAACCAGAATGGAGCTGCTTCATGTATTCTGGCCCAGGCGTTCTCACACATCGCCTGTTATGATTAGTTTGCCACTTACTTCCCACTGTCCCTCCTTTCTGTGCTTCTCAACTCACTTCCAATACTCTTTCAGCTGTCTGGTCCACCCTTCCTGGTAAGGGTTTCTGCTTTCAGCATTCCTTCCTGTCCATTGCTCACACTGGAGAAGCACTTCCCCCAACATTTGGGCATGAGGTGTGGCTATTTCATATTCTGCACCCCTCCAAATTGCATGTTTGGCGTTTTTTAATACTGCTTCCCTTTCTTCCCCAACTATCCATTTATTGGCTCCATTTTCCCAGCTGTTCTGCCTAGATCTTCCTTAAACCATCTTGCCCTCTGAGTCCCATTAAGTCTCATAGCACACCATGGCCAATTCACATTCTCTCTTCCATAGCTCCTTTCTTGACACTAGGTTGTGTACCATTCTGGGTTCTACAGGGCTATTGAATATTGCAAACGGAACAAACTTTAACTAAACAACAACAAAGGTAGAAGCACAGCCCAAACTGCATGCCACAAAATATATGCCCTTGAATTCCATACAGCAGGAGTTGCTTGTAGGAAAAATGATTAAAAAGTCTCTTTGAAGCAAAAGAGCTCAGGAGCCAAATCTGAGTTATCTTTATCACACAGGAGATCTGCAACACCAAAACCAAAAACCAACAAAAAGCACTGCTCTGAATGTATAATCTTTAAATCAAGCAATAAAATCAGGCTAATAAACCTCCAGGGAAATAGCAGCTCCTGCCCGTCCTGTCATCTCTGCTTCCCTCTAAGCAGAAATTTTGAATCGCAGCCCCTTCTTTAGATTTCCCCGCCCACTAGGCTGAACGGAATAGTCCATAAGGGTCACAAGCAAACAACTCTGCCTTTCCCCAGGGCCAGTTGTTTTTAGATGCAAGACTTGGGGGAATCATGGATTCTGTTTACACATCTTTTTTTTTCCAGGCACCAGTCGATCTGAAAAGCAATTCAGAGGTGCAGCGGCTCTTCAGGACCCACAATGATCAGAGAAGAATCCATTTACAGTACGTGAATCCTTCACAGTGTACGCACATGCATGAGAATCCATTTATGGATCGATCACAGAGGTTATTCTGAAACTGATGGAAATTGTGGGCCCAAACATCTGGAATTTTGCTAAGTGGGGAGAGCGCCAGACAGATAAAAGCATACAACAATTTTTCTCAGGTGACAAATTTAATAATGTGCACGCAAATGGCATAATGAGCATTCAAGTACCAACAAAGAGTGAGGTCATGGTGAACAGATAAGCATTGCTCATCAGCCTTAGGGACATGCACACTTCATCTGGAAACTGCTTCTTCAAATGCTACCTACCAGACAAATGGTAATTTCCAGCAAATAAATAATCACTAGCTCTCCTATCTAAATTATGGGGCTGAGGGGAAAAAAAAGCTGACTAAGCAGTTGTGTGATTGGTAAGGACTTCTTTAAGAGCAAAGTACATCTGACACTGGGTTAATCCTTGAAGATAATGCAGATTTCACTTTAACTCACCGCACAGTCCCAGAGGACTGGAAATGAACGATGGGGTATCAGATCTCTCTGCTTGGGATTTTGGTGGCTTTACTGACTATTTCTCACTCAAACCATGGTTCTCATTCCACAGCTAAAGACAGATTTAAAAGGGACATTAGTCTGGCACAGTAAGTACAATTCTTGGCATATAAATCACAGGTACACCTATTGATTTTTGGTAGCTATGGGCTGTAAAACTTGACGCAGACGTAGCATAAATTAATGTAATCTTTGGAAAGTTCGTCATCCCGTGGCATCTTTGTCCTTTTTTCACTCCAGACCTCGCATCTCTTCTGAAAGGGGAAATTTAATCTTCCATGCAGGCTCTGCCAGAAATATTGAATTCAGAACTGGATCACAGGGAAGAATAATAGTGAATGAAGAAGATCTTGCACAGACCTTTAGGCAGGTAAGACTTATAGGTTTTGTCTTCTCTTTTTTTAAAAAAAAAAATCAAATCTTAGTTTTGAAGTGGCTTTGAAATGAATTCTTAGACTAGCGTGCATACACATGGAGAGACACAAACCCATTGCTTCCTGATTTCAGGTAGCAGGTATATTTGCTGCATTGAAACTATAGATGGTATGGATGTCTGCCTTGAGTTAACTATCTCCACGTGACTCTCTGTACCAGTTGCAAAAATAATTAAGTAAAGGAAAAGTATAGAAATGACCCATAATTTTGTGGCACTTAAGGTTTTCCTTGATTTTTCATGGACCACAACCTACTTCATCAGATGCAAAATGTATAAGGGCATTTTTGGTCATGGTGTTGCTATGGAGACAGTCCAGGCCCTTGGTGCTTCTATGGTTCTTCAATGCCCACCTGCTTTTTGCTGTATCCACCATTTTCTGTTCCCATATAAATACTGGGAAGAACAAAATGCAATCATCATTAAGTGTTTTGAAAGCTTATTTCCCTTTCTAAAATGAACATGTGGGGTGCAAGCTGGAACCACAAGGAGAAATACTGTAAGCAGTGGAAGAGGAGAAGAAAGTGGGAGGTCCAGACATTCGCTCCATGATTCTCCCTTGCAAATCTTTGCACTTTCCGCATGGAGACGTCCAACCGAATGTCTCCAACTCCCCATAAGCTGCTGTTCCTTCTTGCCTTTTCGTTTCAGTTTTTGTCTGTATGCCAAAGTGCATTGTTTCCAAAGTTAGGAAAAACAGAGCCAGTGCTCCTCAAGGATTGAGGAGATTAAGCTACTGGATGAAAAAACTCCCTCATATTCTGTCCAAGCTGCTAAACAGGAGAGAGAAAACAAACAGACCCTGAACAGTGGTACTGCTGGCTAACTTTGTACTCATCTTTGATAGTTCCTTAGTTTTACAGTGCAAAGCAAGTTCTGGGCTATTTATTCATCCTTGCCTAACCTCAGTGCTGACTATCACCAAGACTTCCATTTCTCTCACCCTTGCTCTTTTTGCTGATGTTTTGCTTCTGTGATCTGAAATCTGCACTCGCCTTGAAACCTGTGATCTGGACATGGTGCCAACAGATGCAGAATCAGTGATCAAAGGTTTCTGTCTGCAGGAACTTTTCCAGGAGTGTGTGCCGAACTGTGTATTGGTATTTTAGCATAATTCATGCATATACTGTAGTGTGCACCATCGCAACACATTGCATTCATATGTGTGTATTGACTGTTAAGGCAATTATTAAGGGAGCAAGTGCTCTTGCTTATCCTCTCCAGAGAAGAAATACTGGACCTGAGCCCAAATGAATATTCTGGGAGAACAGGGCCCTCTGAGGCCAAGTTGGAGATCTCTGAGACCCTTGAACCTTGACCAACATTGGCACCTCCTCCACTTAGTTCCAGCACACCCATCTTCAAGAGCGCCACAGTTCATGGAACCTGTGCACAAATACTCTCAATGCACCTGGCATGCTCTCTAAGAGAACAAGAAGTGCGAGGTTCGATGCCAAACTCCTGTCCCTTCATAAGGCCTGGCCCACTTACAGGAAGCAGAAGAGAGGAAGTGTCATGAGGACATTATTGATTGATTGATTGATTGATTGATTGATTGATTGATTGATTGATTGATTGATTGATTGATTTCCTCCTTAACAAGGACCCAAGCTTTAGGTGCTCCTAGAGTTTACTGGAGAAGGTTGTTCCCTTGGTGTTCTCTTAGTTTCTGTCTCGGGGAAACCCTGCTTCATGCCCCACTGGCAGGGCCAGACAGAAAGACCTGATGGGTAAGCAGGCAAGTATCACTGCTAAGAAAGGGGACCTCTATCTTGCCCTCATCCAAGATGAAATGTACCTCTAACGTGGAAGCGCTACCTCATGGAAACCCGTAAGCCATTCTTTTGATACTTTTTCAGCATCCAGGAAACTCTCGAAGGGAGAAATTCAAAGACGGAGCAAAAGCTGATACACATTCCCATCCATACAACCTGTTTCTGTTCCTTGGTCTCTGCTTTGATTGCCCTTCTCTCCCTGCACTCGCCAAAATAAAACTGCTGCTGTCCCTGAGATAAGAGAAGTCCAGGCAATTTGCCCAGCACACTGTAGCAGCCTGCGAGGGGATTCCTTTTGTGTTCTTGGCCTCACCTATTCTCCTGGCAGTCTCCAGATGTGTGAAGAGGTTGTGTGTGCATTGCAGTGTTTGTTCCTTCAGCATCTTCCCCAAAAAGAAAGACCATATTGGCTCCACAAACCCTTTCACATGTTCTTTCAATTGATGAAATCATCACAACCCAAGACTTACTGTTAAGATAAATCTGGCCATTGAGGTGCTCATTGTGTCAGCCTCTGTAGCACCCACCCCACCATGAGGAGAATCTAAACATCCAGGCAGCTTGGCCAATCCTCATAAACAAATGGGGAGCAAGCCTTTGGTAATGTTAATGGAACTTAGTTGCCTATTCAAGACAAAATGGCCCTAAAATACTTTGCAGAGATAGTTTGCAATAATGTGCTGCTTCTGGAGGAAGCCATTTCTTTCCAGCTGCCTTAAGGATTTCAGCTCATCTCAGAGGAAATAGGGAAACTTGGTGGGGGTGGAGTGGGAACGGATGATGTCATAGTCCCTGTTATTCTGAATGTCTGGGGGCATCAATCCCACAAGCCCTGGTTCCACTACACCAATGGTTAAGAGAGAAGCTGAACAGCATCAAATCATTATCTCTTTAACCCCGTCCATTTTCTGGGAAGGGCAGCAGAGTGTGGCTCAACATCCAGAGAAATACACATGGCTGCCACATTTTATTTAAAATAGAAAAGCCCTAGCAGATGGATTGGTTTATATTGCATAAATACAAAGTTCTGCAGTTGTCGTTCCTCTTCCTTCATGTTTGTTAAACGTCTATGAATACTGTGTTCCTCCCCTGTGCTTTTAAGCACATGAGAATTGTCCTTTTATTTCTGAATGTAGATCCAGCAGAATAAAGAAGAAATTCTAGAACTTAAAAGAGCTAGTATCTCTCAGAATATTTCTAACCAGCTCACACAACTTAATTTCAAGGTAAGTCTGAATTCCAATAACATTACAAATAAATGTTATTTCCAGTTACTTATTACTGTTCAGAAGAAACTGCTGTTCTTCTGTGCTGTGAGAAAGAAGTTTTATGTTCTGGTAGAAAATCCTGCAATTTAAACCACATGAGTAGAGGCTCATCATATTTCTTTTTAAAAACCACAGTATTTGTTTGAATTGGAAAAAAGACAGATATTCATTTCACTGGGTACTGATTCCAAGCCAGAGTCTTCACATTGTTTCTTTATCCCAGGGGCTTATATTATCATGGCAACGCAATCACCCATCCGAGTTTGGTTTGAATATTGTTTTCTTTTAATAATAACCATTAAAAATTCCCCAAGAACTTGTAATAAAAAGTGATCAGAGGTTGGCTGACTATGAAAATTAAATTTTTCATTTCCAGTATCATTATGAGTCACAGATTTCAGTGTTTGTATTTAACTTCAGCCGCTGAGAGATCGTAGAGGTACAGTAGTCAAATACGGAGATGCATGTGTTTTATTCACATTGGCTGAAATCTTGTTGCTTGGTGTAGTAAGTCACACAAGAGTAGGACCACAGAGTCAATGGGGATTTGGTGAGTCAACTTCTCAATAGGTTCAGTTGATTCAAATGCGTCTACTTTAGTGTGATTTACTACTCTAAACAACAGGATTTAACCAATGTATATAATTCTGCCTGAACAAAGCTTTCGTGTGGCTCACTGATTTTAAATATTATTAAATAAATTCCCAACATTCTTCTGTGTTTTAAAACTATTTAATTTTGGATAAATTGGGCTTTTTTAAATTAGCAAGACCAACACTGCAGAACAAATTGATCTGTATTAATTGAAGCTATTAAGGGGGGACAATAGAGACAATCATTTTTTGTCTCAATAGTACAGGGATGATGTCAAGGAATGACTTAGAAGCAGAAGTCGAAGATCCCCCTCAGAATGAATGAATGAATGAATGAATGAATGAATGAATGAATGAACTTTATTACGGTCACTGACCAGCAGATATATCCAGATGTTACTATAACACAAAAACACAATGAAAAGTAGCATAAGGTAGCAATATAATATCACATGTACACAATCTGTTGTAACTAAATTAGATGGATCCTCCTTAGTTTCAGTAAATAAATTCAGTAAACTCTGTACTATCCCTTAGAATGTGTTGGGTGGCCATAAGGTGCTAAAATAAGAGAGGAAATGCCCCCAAAAGGAGGACATGAGATGCTTTTGATTTCCATAAAATCTGCATATGCTGATTTATATTTGTAGATACACATTTGAACATAGTAACTATATTTTAGATAAAAATTACATATCTGTGTATGAGGGAAAGATGATCAACTATTAATGGCTGATGGTCAACTTCAAGGACTTTGCAACATTCTCATGATTTATCTTCAAACTGACAAACAGTGGATGCTTTCAACGAGAATCATTCCATGACAGCCCTTCAAATGGAATATATTGTTATAAGACCAGAAATACGACTGCCTTCTGAATGAGACAGAAGATCCTCAAACATGACAGTTCACTTACTGCTTTTTCCAAGTAAATAAAGCAATGCCTGTTACTGTCTGAGAAGGAAAATCTTGTAAGATCATGTTGGCTGGAAGATGCTGAGAGTTGTAGAGTAGAAAAAGTTACTTATCCAGATGTTGACCTGAAGTCTGCAGTCACTTACTTCCGTTAGAACTATGGCACAATGAGATCTCTTAAAGTCTTGAGCTTAGTAGGAGTGCGAGAAGATACCTCTGTGGCTTTTGTTTTAGGCAACGAAGGACAACATTCCATTGGGATGTTATGTCACTGCAAGCAAAGTCAGGTAGTTTGTGGTGCCTAATTGAAGCTAATTGGCATTGTGTCTGTCACATTCTTCATTGTATGCCAATCTTAGAAGCAGGCATGTAACCAGGCATGTGATCAGCAGCTCTTTAATTAGCTTTAATTAGCCACTGAGACGTACATAATTTTGCCACCACTAGTATATTCCAAGTGAATTTTGACCAAAGTTTTTTTTAGACTGTTAGTGATCATCAGAGCGTTAAGGGAAATTTTAATGACTGAGGTAATACAGGAATTCATCTTAACTGTTCTGAATTATCAGTGTAAACAACTGCAAGCTTTCTCTGTCTTCAGGGAACCCTGTTGATGAGGAGTTTGAGAATAGTTTCATGTGTCAAGAATTCAGCAGGGATCTCAACATAAACTCAGGGGCTGAAGAATTTGCAGAGGACATATCTGGCTTACCATTTAGTCATCAATGCCTGACACCCCAGTCAATGAAGCCAGACCCCAAATCACTGAATCTGGGGCCTTCATGTCCAGAATAACCTTAACATCTCCTCGGTCTGGCTCCTGTGCTGGCATGGGGTGTCTTTCTCCAGTTCTCAAGAGCCACTAGTCCAGTACCATGCCTAACATAAGAGGCAACAAAATGACACAGTGTGGACTATAGTGATTTCTCCCTTTGAGGTATCCTACTTGGTGGGAAGAGGTGGAACATGGAGGCTTGTTTTGAGCTTGTTTTGCAGCTACGGGACATGGGCACCTTGTAGTCATTGAGTTGACCATGAACTCCTCTGTATACCGAAGTATTCTAGAGTCAAACATGAAGCCATCTGTCCAACAACTAAAGCTTAATTGAAACTGGGTCATGCAACAGGACAGTGATCCCAAGCACACCAGCAAATCTACACTAGAATGGCTGAAAAAGAAAAGAATCACGGCGTTGCAATGGCCCAGTCAAAATCCAGACCTCACTCAACCCCATTAAAATACTGTGACAGGACCTTAAAAGAACTGTGCATAAACAAATGCTCACAAACCTCAATGAAATGAAGCAATGTTGTAAAGAAGAGTGTGCCAAAATTCCTCCACAACAATGTGAGAGACTGATAAAGTCATGCAGAAAAGAAGCTACTGAATCATAAGCTGTACTTAGTTTTTCACACATGGCTTCTCCATTTTGTCTTTATATCTGTAAAATAATATGTATTATGTCATGTGTTATTCATCCGAGATACCTAATTTTCAGACCTGCTATAAGGACCAGATGATTTTTATTATGTCCTGACATGTAAAACCATAGACTTCAAAGAGGATTACTCAAGGGGGTTTGTACTTCCATTTTCACATGACTGTAGATACAGTAGATAGCAAAACATTATGAAAATTTTTGAATGGCTAATGCATAATCCTGTGATCTTTTTTTGTTGAATATCACAGAGATATGCTTGAGATATAAGATCAATTCTGTAGATGGTAGGACTAGCAATATGAAATGTTAAATTAAAGCACTGTGTCTCACTAGCCTTGTTCCGGTAAACAGTTTAATACAGTTCTTTTGTCTATAGTCTATTTAGTCTTGGTATATTTTCCACAGCTCTGTGCCCTGATGAAAATATTTCATAGACTAAAAATGTTATTCTGAGGCAAACTGGAGAGTTCATTGGTGAAATGCACTATTGCCTATGTGAAACATAGGCAAACAAGAGCTAGTCAAGATAAATCAAGTTTATTTCCCCGCCCACTAATTTAGGATACATGAGGTAGATGAGAGCAGTGCTGCAATCTACAATAGGGGTCATGAAAATGAAACAAAAGTGAGAAGAACTGCATATTTCCCCTTCATCTTGTTTGTGTGGGGGAAAGGCTGAAAATATACAAATGTGATTGTATGAATTGGCTTTTAAGCCAAGTTTCTTGGTGGCTTTTCCTCCCTTCATTATCTGATTGGTGGCTCTAGGCTTTCAGAGCCTTGGACTCTGTGGAAACACTGCAGATCAACAGGCCAGTTAAACTGGAATACTTTGCATTTGAGCTGCTGTGTTCCTGCTGAAGTCAAGGCTGATCTTAAAAAGTTGTTCCTTTGGCAAATAAGCACTAAAGAGAGACAATATTAACCTCAACACATACCTACAGCCCGAGCCAAGGGTCATATTTGGATTGCATGGATACAGCATCTAAGAACCACTGGTACAAAGACATAAACCTTAGAATATGTAAAACACTTTAAATCCAAGTCCCATGACTTACCTGGGTTGTGCCCTTGCTGACTGGTAGTGTTGTGGGTTTTATAGCACCAGCCTTAAATGTTTTTTTTTCTAAGACCAGCCCAAAAATTTGGAATTGCTGCACCAGGCATCAGATCCTGGGTGTCATAAAAGGATAGCAAATTATACCATCTAATTTTTGTTCTTTTTGTTGCGGCATTTTTACAAGGTGCTATTTGAAATTTGAAGGCATGTGGTGGCACTGCAGACTAAACAGCAGAAGCCTCTGTGTGCTGCAGGGTCAGAAGACCAGCAGTCATAAGATCGAATCCACATGACAGAGTGAGCTCCTGTCGCTTTCTCCCAGCTCCTTGCCAACCTAGCAGTTCGAAAGCATGCAAATGCGAGTAGATAAATAGGTACCACCTCGGCGGGAAGGTAAAACGGTGTTCCCTAGTCACGCTGGCCACGTGGCAACGGAAACTGTCTTTGAACAAGCACTGGATCTACGGCTTGAAAACGGGATGAGCACCGCCCCCTATAGTCGGACACGACTGGACTAAAAATATCACGGGGAACTTTTACCTTTACCTTATGGGATATTTAGCCTTATGGGCTAAAACAGTTTGGCTGGCTTTAGGCCCACTGCACCTTGACTTGGGCGGGGGCTCACATTTATTGCTCTGCTTTAGTCCGAACCTGATTGATGTGTTGTATGCTGCGGCTTGGGGGGGGGGGGCTAATATTTATTGCTCTGCTTTAGTCCGACCCTGATTGATGTGTTGTATGCTGAGATCTCACAGACTCCATGTAATCATGGAATTGTAAACAAGATGAAGAACATCTTATTTTAAAATGTTTTAGATCAAGGTATTAAATAGTGCCAAGGAGGTTCTTGATCAGGTTCCCAGGGAGCACTTACAGATCTTCTGCTGCTGTATATGTTTAGCTTCATAAAGGACCTCTTTGAATGAAATGCTGGTGTGACTGTTCTGTGCTCGTAAATATTATTACATGTTTGACTAGTCCATAGGTTAAATCATTGCCTTAATTTTCCTGGGTGGCGAGGATGGTCCAGTGAAGAGTGTTAACATGAAGAGAAGTGGAACCAATGGCTCCTACAGCATTGGCATGAAAGATGGGTGCTGACCAATGAATGGGTTATGCTGAGATCTTGAAACAAAGCAATTTTGGACCAATGTATTCCATAACCTCTATATGGACTATTCCATATAGTTATTTATAGTACATTTGTAGAGGTTCATGAATTTATCACAACCAAATTTTGCACTAGGGTACTTCAATTAAAAGTGCATTGAATGCATATATTCGGGAGTTGTGCAAACAAATATGCACGTGTGTAAAAGTAACATGAAAGTGCAGAATTGAGGAAATTGAGGAAATTGCTAGCAAATGGAGTCTATTAAACAAAATTTCACTCACAAATGCATGTATTAGAAGAAAAGATCGCACAAATGTGTATACATGTTATAATTTTTAAAAAAAAACATCTCATTTAGGATTAAATGAAAATAAAACTAGGAAAATGAGACAAACTAGAATTGATATAGTTGCCTTTCTGTACCAAGGATTTCTCCTTGGGATCTGATGGGAAGGGGCAGATCTGTTTAGTCATAGGGATCCATAGTGTTTTGGACTAAAATAATCTGAAATCTTCAGATTGCTTTTTAAAATTTTTGTTTAATATTTTATTTTAGGCTACCACTGAATTTTAGTATATATTTAACCAGATGCATGTTTATCCTGATGTTCCTCTGATTGTAAGTTGGCCATAGTAGTGATCTGACCATTAGAATGGTGGGGTAAAAATCAAAATAAAGAAATATATATTATAAAAAAAAATCTCATCCATTGCTGGTGCATTTCCATCCATAAGAAACCAAATCTGGAAAGCCTAGCCCCTGGAAGTTCTTGCCACTCATGGCAATGGCAGATAGAATGCAACAGTGCTGAACCTGTTTTCTGATTGAAGGAAGTCCTTCCTCTTTTGTCTCCCCAGGGTGCCTAAATGCAACATTCGTAACAGTTGTTACGAAATTAATTCACAAACATTTGTTTTTCTGGTTGTAGATTGTGAATATCGAAGGCAGACTTCAGAACCTTGAACAGGTAGGCAAATTTCTGGAATTAGATAAAGGTCATGCATTTGAATATATACAGTGCGTTCTAAGTGCATTGCAAGACAAAATGGACCGAGTCCAGGGCTATACATGAACTTTGTCTTTCCAAGTGGACAACGATGACAGTGTGAATTGAGGACATTGTAGGCAAATTAAATGTTTCTTCTTCTTCCTGATAACTATGGTCTTTACTTCTATATAGAAAGTAAGTGTAGAATTCAAGATACAGCTTTAAGTTGATTATCTGAGTTTCTGTTACCTATCATTCAAAGAGATCTAGGTCCATTAAATACTCTAGAATTAATCAAAGAAGAACTGTGCCAATGAAGTAAGATATACAAACAGCATGAGTTTACATTTTTCTCCCTAGATCTTTTTGAGAAAGGCTTGTAGCAGCAACCCTTGCCAGAATTCTGGAACCTGCATAGATTTGCTGGATGCTTTCTTTTGCCTTTGTCCCACGAACTGGCAGGTAAGCTAGCTATTTGTTAACTGTTCAATGTATGTTGTATATGCAAACTGGCATCCCTGAGTCCTTGGAAAAAACCTTGATGTTAGGAAGGTGTGATGGCAAGAGGAGAAGGGGACAACCGAGGATGAGATGGCTGGACAGTGTCTGCGAAGCAACCAACATGAACCTGACACAACTCCGGGAGGCAGTAGAAGACAGGAGGGCCTGGCGTGCTCTGGTCCATGGGGTCACGAAGAGTCGGACACGACTAAACGACTAAACACACACAACAAAGGTTAAGAACCACTGAACTACATCAATGTCAGACCATCGGATCTTTGCACCTTAAGTCTTGCCTGTGGGAAACATGCAGCTTTTACAGAGGGGAGTAGGGAAATAACAAACACGATTCTGCCGAACTGTTGCTCAATGTACCTTAGGAATAATGACACTGGCTCTAGAGTAGGGATTTTCTGAAGAATTTTTTATCTTCAGTTTTTCCTCACAAAGCTCTGGGAAATCAACATTAATCTCTTGGTATCATATCATAAATCAAAAATACAAAGTTTTCAGTAGATCACTAGTGCATGCAGAGTTTGGAGAAACACATTAATATTAACTTAATATTAAAAATGCTTACTTGTGCTTTAAATAAACAGGCATGCAAACTGGTGCATCTAATCTTCTAAAAATAACATTTTGAAAGTTTAGAGAGAGAAGAGTAAGCATGGATACTAATCAGGACTTTTATTAGTGGTATAGAAGTGAAGACAGCACACACATGGATCCCTATATAATAACCCCTTTATAGGAACTGATACTTCTTTGCATAGCTCGTATCAATAGCATGAGGGCAAACAGTGCATAATTTAATTCCCTAAAGAGATCCATATGTCTGTTATAATGGCCCTGTGTTCCACATTAACTGAAAACATGCTATATTTTGACATATAAGCAAGACAGAACTGAACAACTGGGTTTTGTTTCAGAGTTTACTAAAGGAAGCAGTGCTGCAAGCAAGCCAGATGCTGTATATATTTTTTGAAATCCTATATTGTTGCACTGGCTCAGCGGACCCCACTGTGTGTCTTGTTTTACTTGGGAAATAAGCTGTTATTCTTTTCTCTTCTTAGGGACCGTTGTGTTCTGTTGATGTTAATGAATGCCAGATTTATGCTGGGACACCACTAGGCTGCCAGAATGGAGCTACATGCGAAAATACTCCGGGTAGCTACAGGTAACAAACAAATCAAGCAAATCCCCAAGTGGCTGGTTTGCCACTGACAGGGGAAAGACAGATCTGCTTATATTCCAGTACACTGGTCCCATATATATAGATTTAAGAAGGATCAGAACTGAGTTTTCTAATGGAAGCCATAGAAAATCATATATATTCAAATCTTTTGTCCTACAACAATATTCTCTGTATGGATACATACAGTCTCTAAATCTATTATATTTCCCCTATACACTCATAGAGTCTCAATCATATGATATGCATGGGCCAGAATCCTATTGGTGTTTACATAAGGTTTGCACAGCTTGCTGCAGCTAATTGATGAGGTGCTGGGGCACTTTTCAGCCCCAGCACTTGGTCAACTATTCATGATTATCTATGCCAAGCAACACAAACCTTGTGTAAATACCGACAGGATTACAGCCATGCTAATTGTCTCCACCGCATAATCGAGCATTTCACATCCAGGATGAGCCTCCCGTTTGTTGGTGGCCATCTGTTAAGGACTCTTAATTGATCAAGGATTTGAACTGTCAATCATCATCTGAGGAAGCTGCGCGCATGCAGTATTTACTTAGATTCTGCAGCTAATTGATGAGGTGCTGGGGCACCTTTCAGTTACATGCCTCCTCATGTGCTCAATCAAACAAGTTAGATGTGCCCCAGCACTCGGTCAACTATTCATGATTATCCATGCCAAGCAACACAGACCTTGTGTAAATACCGACAGGATTACAGCCATGCTAATTGTCTCCACCGCATAATCTAGCATTTCACATCCAGGATGAGCCTCCAGTTTGTTAAGGGCTCTTAATTGATCAAGGATTTGAACTGTCAATCATCATCTGAGGAAGCTGCGCACATGCAGTATTTACTTAGATTTTGAGTGTATTTGTCTGGAAAAGTAATGCAAAGGGATAAGTTTAAGGCAAACTGATTTAAAAATATCACTCTTACACAATGTGGCCAATAACAAATCCTGCCCGCTGAAATCATACTTTGTATTTTAAGAAAGCGGCTGGAATAACACATTATTTCATAGACTATCTGCATTATTTCATGAATACTAACCTTTACAAATAAGTCGACTTTGAGGTTTGTCCTTGAGTGAAGAACATATACTGTTGCTGGCTGTTACTAATGCATGGCTTTGGATGTGACTCATTCTAGAATTATAGCATGAAGCAGGTCTGCAGAAAGTGGAAAATCCAGGGACTTTGAGGTTTGTCCTTGAGTGAAGAACGTATACCGTTGTTGGGTTTTACTAATGCATAACTTTGGATGTGACTCATTCTACAATTAAAGCATGAAGCAGGACTGGCTCTACTGTTAGGCAGAGTGAAGCAGATACTGAGAGGCAATAATAGTAGCCCCTGGAATGTTACTCCTGACTTTCCCAGGTTTCTTCCTCTATTGTGGACAATGTGCCATGTGATGTATCCTCTGCCTTAAACTAGTCTACAGTTTCAAGTGTGGTGGAAATGCCATCCCATCAACTCCTGGTCCTGGTCAGTTTCTGTACATTTCATGGAGAGGTCTGTTATTTTGCCTCATGCATCAACATGTTCTGGGCTGACCCTAGACTGAGCCAGTGTTCCTCTGCAGGTCCGCAGAAAGTGGAAAATCCATTACTATAATGCTAATGTTTGCAAACAGGTCCAAAATATTTGGAATCCAGAGTACCCATCTTTGTCCCTCCCTTCACAAAATATAATGGGAGTGTAATGTCCATAATGTCTGATTGGTCTAGAATAGTATATTACTTGCTTTCATTCAGTGTATACACTTATTAGGCTTCTGATACCCTTTGAGGGATAAATAACACAGTAGATAAGAAGAGGCCTATATGTACATGGGACAAAAGTTAAGGCAGTCCACGCATGGCATTTTTAGGCAGCTGCTCAAGCCCCAGTATACTAGCAAGACCTTCTGCTGAGATCTGCATTGTCTTACAAACAGTATCTGACCTGGTATTCCAATCATGTTGACAGGGTCTAGTGGTTCTCTTAGTTTCCTGTCATGAATGATTCAGACAGCACCATGGGAAATTAAAAGTGCATCTATATTCAACCACCAAGTATTCCCACCACAGCTAAGCAAGAGTATAGAGAAATGGTTCCATTACAGGAAATTAAGCCAGAGGTCTCTTCCTAAATTGTGAGCCAGACTCAGTCAGATTCAGGCTATATTCTTTCCAGTTTTGGGGTAGGGTGAGAGCCAGAGGAGAATTCCCCAATCTCTTTTTGTATCTGTGCAGCTTTCTATACATCACATTGGCTGAAATCCTCTTGCTTAACATACTAAGTTGCACCAGAGTAGGCCTATTGAATCAGTGAGAATTTGATAGGTCAACTCATCCATACGTTCCATTGGTTCAAAAGTGTCTACACGAGTTGCAACTTACTGAAATTATAAGTTCAACAAAAATATATCTGCCTCTAGTGGTGAAAATTATATTTTACAGCTTGCGCCTTTTGTTTTGAGCTGGTGATCTCATTGGTCTGTTGCTGTAGTGCTAGTTTTTAATGGATAACTTCAAGGCTTCTCTCTGCTTTCCTTTTTTATGGTTTATCTCTCAACGGGACTTGAATTGGTCATTACTTGAAACTGAGAATGCCTTCAGACAGAATGTTGTCCTCAGCAAAACGAGGTGACTAACCTCCCTATCTGTAAAATGTAGAAACCAGGCGGTCACTCTTCTTTGCCTTGTCAGCCTTATGCAGTTCTTATTCACTATGGGCTCTTTCAGACAAGAGAGGATGGCCTCCTTTTGATGTCCCAGTTCATTGGTGTTCACAAGAAGGGAGTGCAGCACTTAGCAGGATAGGTGCCCACACTGTACTTTTAAAAGCAGCCTCTTTTAAAATGGCTTCTCTTGCTTCTCTTCTATGAAAATGCTAGAGAGCCTTCAAAAACATCTTAAATATTTTTTCCTTGCTATTTGTTAGGTTTCCAATGCTAATTGATTGCAAAGAAAGTTTCCCATCAGAAAGCTATACCTGTGGGAATCAACTTGATTATAAAAAGTCGCCATAGTGTTAAACCTGCTTCTGAAACAGAATGAAATTGGCCTCTGGTACAGGACCAAAAGGCATAGGAAGTCAGGAATCTGGGCTCCATTTATCATTGTTTTTAACCCTTCTGACATGTTGGGGGGTGGAAATACCAATAACATTTACAACAAACCAGGAACATTTGGGAGACCAAAAACTCTGTCTAGATAAGTCCTAAGATGCCTAGGGATAATTTCTTTTCACAGAACCTGCTTGGCTTAGAATGAGTCAGTGAGTGGCCTTGTTTGAAAGTCTTTTTTTATTATTATAAAATTATTATATGGCTAGCTGGTAAAAAACTAATTTCCTGACAAAGCATTCTCAGTGAGATGGGGCACAAGCCAGTGTTCTCTGCAGAGCCTTTTGTTTTTTGTCTTTGGAATAATGATAATAATAATAAAATCCTTTTGCTCTGCAAATATTTACTTGCCGTTCTTCTTCTTCTGGAATGCTTTGCCATGGCTTGCAGTCTTTCATGAAAATTAATTCAAGGCAACTCTAATTCTTCTCAGCTACCACAGTATGTCCCAGAGGTATTTAGTTTTCAGTGGCTAACTGCTTTGCCATACTTTTTTCAGAGCAGATTTTTAAAACAAATTTTAAATGAATTAGAATGTTAGACCTAGGGAAGGGGGCCTGTAAGGCATCTACTCTGATCTGCAGTCTGTGCAAGAATCCAGAAGAGGAAGATGGCCAATGGACAGCTTGGATGGAGCCGTGTGGTGAAGATGAGTTTGCAAGGATGCATCTCCCAGGAATCTTCACCATACATTGTGTGCAGTAGAACTGCTGGCATTTGCAATGTAGCAACATCTGGAGGACCTGTTTGGCTCAACCTTAATAATCCACGGCCCACTAACAACTTAGTTCTAGGACATTATTGCCTTGTTCCTATTGTTAAAATTATCGCCATCTTCACCTGAAATCTACATTCTTCAGCCTTAAGCCTATTAAATCTCATCCTCCTTTTTTTGAGACAGCTTTCCCTATATGAGAACCCTTTCTGATCATGTTCCCAATCATTCTCATCTTCCTCAGCACAAGCACACCCAGTTCCTTCAACTTTCTTCACAATATTTTCCCCGCGACAATCTTTGTTGACTTTGTTGGTTCTAGTAGAAACTGTTCTAGTTTGTCAGCATCCTTATGAAAGTGCAGAGCTGGCCAAAGACTCGTAGGATAACAATAGCTGTTCTGTATGATAGATGAACGAAATTCTTATTGTCCTGGTCACCAGAGGCTGAGGGCAAAAAATAGACTGCGCTGGTATTTAATGTAGTCTTTAAAGGAGCTATCCAAGGTGCTGAGCCTATTTTGGGGAGTAAGTATTTTTCACCTTCAACAGCTTCTTTAAAGTTCAGACTGAAATCTGGAACAGATTCACTACTGACCCTGAAACCAGACTCACCAGCCATCACCGCTTCAAAGAGTCTGGAGAACTGTTCACCAGTGAGATCAAAGGATATTGTGCTTTCTGGGTCACTGCTTGACAGCTTCCTTTGTTCACAAATGCTGCAGTTGGCTTCATCAGAGGCAACCTATTGAGAGTGCAATCTTCTAACCATTTATATGAGAGTTTACAACCATTGCACTCAGTGAGGCTTATTTTCTGAGTAGATGTGTATAGGACTGTGCTATATGTTTTAAACCATAAGTGTAGCAGCATGTACACAGATGTACATGGAACATGTGTGTATAGGCATTCAACTGCAGACTTCATGTGAAAAGTAAATGAAATAAATATATCCTACTAAGTAAAGACAGATGAATAGGATGATCTCTGATCCTGTTGTGGTCCATGATGCATCAATCATCTTCTCTGGGTCACTTGCTTGACAGCTTCCTTTGTTCACAAATACTGCAGTTGGCTTCATCAGAGGCAACCTATTGAGAGTGCAATCTTCTAACCATTTATCTAGGAGTTTACAACCATTGCACTCAGTGAGGCTTATTTTCTGAATGGATGTGTATAAGACTGTGCTATAAGTTTTAAATCATAAGCATAGCAGCCTGTACACAGACATGCATGGAACATGTGTGTATAGGCATTCAACTGCAGACTTCATGTGAAAAATAAATGAAATAAATATGTCCTACTAGGTAAAGACAGATGAACAGGATGACCTCTGGTCCTGTTGTGGTCCATGACGCATCAATGAGCTTTTTTAACTGTACAAAATTTACTTCATTTGAAACATTTTTTTTCACAAAACAGATATTTTATATGCATTTTAGTAAACTGAAGAATAATGCAAAGTCTCGAAGAGCATGGAAAGTGGATAATAACTGTTTTGTAATTCATGCCTTGGTTGCGAGAATCAAGTCTTGGTTGTGAGAATCGGGTTGATTCACCTAAAATACAGAGCAAATGACACCTTCCAGTATTTCTGTCGCCAATTCAAAGAATACTTTAGAAATTACCAGCAATTTCAAATAATGCAAAACTCCCATTCCAAAATGTTATGCTCTTCTTCTGTGTGGAATTGTCTTCAGACTGACCTGTTTTAAAGTAACTTTAAAAAAGAAAGGGAATTTTTTTTGCCTAAACAATAAACTGCCACGAAACTGAGGTTTTTAAGTGTCCCGCTTTCTATGCATCTTGAAATCATCAAGCAGATGTAATCTATGCATCTTGAAGTCAGCAAGAAATAACTATATAAAAATATACAAAATGCAATAGCATTTTATTCCTCTTCAGAGAAGGACTTGATGTTCTGAAATCTTCTTGCCTAGTCATTTGGGCTTCCTGGCCACTTTCTGAAACTACAACCGCTCAGCGAGGCGCTCGTTAAGCGAGGCACCACTGTATATCAAAACATACAAAACTCAATAGCATTTTATTCCTCTTCAGAGAAGGACTTGATGTTCTGAAATCTTCTTGCCTAGTCATTTGGGCTTCCTGGCCACTTTCTGAAGCTACAACCCAGTGTACTTTTTTCTAAACTGGATTTCCCCCTTTGTTTAATCAGTCCAAGAATGGATGGTGGGAAGCTAGAAGAAGTGTGGGTGTGCTTACAGAATGATTCAAAACACATTGACTCACTGTTTCGAATCAACAATCTGCTAAAATCAATTCTTTTATTACAGTGGGGACCAGTCAAGCTTAACGCTTTGAAATCTGAGTTAATCAGTACCACTTCATTGGCAGCTCATGTTAGTTTGCATTTAATGTATCAAGTCAACCAGCTAACGGGATGCGGAATGCTTTGAGAAGTTAATAATTCTGTTTTTAGGCAACCGTTGAAACAGGTTGTTGTGGACACTGAAAGCAAAAGTCTGTTGTTAAACACAAATACACACACGACAAAGCCTGTCTCCTATGTATCTCTTTATATATAGACTGATATAATTTATTGAAACATCAGTTTGTTTATAGCGCAGTTGTATATACCTCAACTCAGAAATCAGTTTTGCTGCGCTCAATCATTGTTCAGTTTCATGGCAGTTGCATCTAGGTAATAAAGAATGCCTCATTGACAAAAAAAATTCTCAGCGAAAAATTTCCATTTTTTAAAGTGAGAAAACTGCACAAGTAGCAGAATCTGAGATGAGGAAAATATTAAAAGAATACAAAGGTTTAATATTTACATAAACTCTTAATGGTTAATTGTTAAATATGTATATGTTCTTATTATCAAATACTAATATGTAGTATAGTATCAGTATACAGTCAATAGTACAAGTACGTGAGAATGCCGGTATATGAAAACCTGGACTAAGTGAGCTAATTTATGGCCACTGAAGGTAGCCATTTTAGAATACAGGAGAATGTGGAGCAGCTGGAGGTTGAAGAGGCATAAATAGCAGGTATTTTAGAGTTGACCAACAGGGACAGAAGTTCAGTCTTATGTCAGGTGAGGCCAGCCTAGAAAACACCCGGGCAAATTTGCTATTTGGGGATATTACTCTATAACAGAGAAGGCCTTCCCAAACTCTGGAGGCCAGGCTGGGCCCACCTTTGCTGTCCTTCCACAAGCAGATGAAGATTTTTCTCTTCAAGCAGGCTTTGCTTTCAATGACTGGTTGACCAAGTTTTTTTTTTTTAAAAAAAAATGGGAGCATTTTATTCTGGGCTTCTCTTGTGTTTTTAACATTGCTGTTATTATGAGTTCTAGTATGATATTTGTTCAATACCTTTTTAGTGTTTGAATTATTTATTATTTGGCTTTTAACTTTATTTCTTTTAATACTGCAAGCCACCTTGGATAGTTTTGGAGAAAGACAGCATATAAGTATTTTAAATAAATAATAACTAACTCTCAGAATCACAAAAGCTTCATGTTAGGTGAAGGTCTACTGGCTAGAGGATCCTGTGACCTGTATTCCCCAATCATTTTCTTGACTGTGGAGCAGCAAAGTTTACCTAGTTAGTCATGAAGCTCAAACAGACTTATCACTTCCCAATGTCTTAGAATAATTCCTTGGATTTCTATAAAAGCTCTTGTGGACCCAGGTACCTTTGTGACTCCAGCACTGATCATTCATGACTAGAGATGGGCACAAACTGTTTATTGTGCATTTATCCCAACCCTGCGTCCTCCAGCGGGTGCCCACTTGGAGGCAATGGCCCAATTTCCCTGCCCTGCCTCCTCTGGGTGCCGCATCTGTGTGGGGACCCGCCAGAGGAGAAGGGGCTGGGAAGTGCTGAACACCTGTTTGGCCAATGAACAAACCAGCCCATCTCTATTCATGACTTAAAAGGGCATATAACCGAAAACACTAGGTGGAAAGGTAAAGGTCCACATGGTTTTAGGAAATAGAATTACATAG